ACTCTAAGCTAATCTCTACCTTACCATCGAGTTTCACACTTCTGAGGCTCAGGACTCCAAGTCCGCCGGCAACACAGTTCTCTGAAGGTGAGCACATCTTGTATACCGCCGTATACACATTACATGCCTGTCACATTCATCTGTTTTTTGGAAAAAATTTCACGAAGCATAGAGTTTTTTTGGCCTGTGGTTTGACGTACCACGAAAACAAACGCGGAAAAGCCTGTGGTCTGACGTACCACGAAAACAAACGCGGAAAAGTCTCTATCTCCTCCCCAAACTTTGTGGGTAGTTTCGTGGAAATTTCAGAGATCTCTGTACAGGCAGTAGTACATATGATAATGCCTACATCAGCACAGAATTTGCTTGCAGAAGTAGATTGAGATTTACAAATGAGCAAAATGGTAAGGTTGGGATGATCCGCAAAAGTACAACGATTGCTGTTCAAGCGCTAGACAATTAATATATATCAACAAAATGTTTTTTACTTCGAAGCCTTTGCATGAGCTGAAAAGATTGGTTGAGTTTCCGTTCTTCACTTGTCGAGATTTAGTAGCTGAATTGCTAGAACGCTCAAAAACTGAAAAAAACGGGAAAACTTTTGAGGCGAACTGAACGAAAGTACTTCGAGCGATGAGAGGAGAGTAACGTTCTTGTTTTCGTATTGCGGTACGTCCAACGTCTATTAAAGGTCTCAGACTTTGATGCTGTAGCTCTAATTGCAGCTTTGAGCAAAGTAAGCTTCGCTCGAGATTTAAATGCAGAGGGTGCGGAAAAAGTACTGTCTTCTGTTTGCATCCTTAAAAATCTCACAAATAAAAGAAACTCATAGATTTTTGATTTTCTACATACTGGCGAAAAGATTGGAGGTTAAGAGATAAGCTTGATTTGAACAGTCTTCTTCTGTCCGTTTGAACAAGTTATAATAGCAAGCGAGATCATTTATGCGCCGCAGCGTTTGAGCATGATCTCGGACCATAAGTATACCATCAACAATGACAGTCTTGAATTAGGGTAATGTGGACATAAACACTCTTCAAAATTCTATTCCAATTATAGGTTAGTGGCTTGGGGTTATGGTTAAGTAAGGAAAATCACACTCAGGAAAATCGTACAAATGCTCGAAAAGTCGCTAGTCAGAACTGATCTTGCATAATGAATTGAATCAAAGTCTGATTCAGTTATTCACATCTCGAGATCTTTGTACAAAATAACTCGAGTCTTGAAAACCAAAAAAAGACCGAAGTAGGACTGAAAGCATTTTGAGCAATGAGGAAACGGCAACGTTCCTTTTCGACGGCAGTAGGTTCAAAGCTATATCTAATACTTCAGGGCTGTGAGTCCTGTGGCTTCCTTTCAAAATGGACCTTCGCCTCTGTGCGTTGCACGAATACCGCTTGATGTTTTGACTTCATGATACGAACTAGAGCTTGCTTTATCGTTGTTGGTGCTAATGTTTTCTTGAAGGTAGCGTCCCACCAGACTGGGAGGTATTTGGTCTAGTAGTAATCTAATATCAGACCTTCTAATTAAGCGACGACAGATGTTTGCAGCGCCAAAGGGGGTCTACGAAGTCTAAAAGAAGTCAGAAGCTTTGTACAGGCATGTGGAACAGTGCTTAGGTGTTGTACACAAGTTGTTATCAATAGTTTTGGTCGGTAATACGGTGTACCTATCCAAATTACTAAGTCGGCAACGAATGTCAGGTGCAATGCCAATATCAGGGAAATCAGTGACTCCAGGCTAGTCAAAAACTTTTGAGCCTCTTCCAATTCTTGTCATAGAGAGTGTGTATATTTTGTAATGTAGGTCTAAATTGGGGCCAGAACATCAGAAGCCTATAATTTCTTAGGGATTTTTGTGAGTTAAAGTTTGTGTGAAATGCAGAAAGAAATGCTTATCGATAGTCAAGTAGTAGAACTAGACGACACTAAACGAGTACTCTGGTATAAGCGATTTAACGATGAGGGAAACTGAATAGCAGTAACGATAAGCATAATGGAAGCTAGAGATTTTGAAAGAGTTTTTGCCTATTAGGAAAGCTCGTTTTGTATTCTTTATATTGCTTGGTATCACACTAAGAAAATACAGTATAAACAGTATAATACCAAGCCACTTCCACAGAATAGAAAAGAAGAACTTTTTAGGTTTGGACGGAAAATGCGGAACCACCTACTGATGAAATTTAGAGTTAATTATCGTAAGAGAAATAGAGAGAATTACCAACAGTTAGTCAACCTCATGCATTATTTCTGACTTTCAGTGAAGTGGATTAGCTTTTGCACATTGGCCGGTCCTATCCGGTAGCAAGCAAGAGCTTATCACATTTTTAATTTATGCTTTAGGATCGTTGAGAGTTCAAATCAGGACTCGGCACGGGGTGGCTTCCCGAAATTGCAAAAAACGAAGTCCCCGTTGACTTCACAATGAAAGTACGACATCCGTCATGAGACATTGAAAGAGAAAACACACGAAAAGAAAAGGAACAAGGCAAAACAAAAGAAGTTCAAACATGCATCAAATAAACGCGATAATATTCGTATTCCATATTGGTGACATGATGTATCTATCCAGCGCGCAGCAATACGCGCCTGGAGCAGCGTTGCCGTTATCATTTAAAATTATCAAGGGGCTGTAACTGAGCGGGAAGGAAGGGGTTTGAGGCGATTTAGGGACCAATTTGTAGGGCTTGGGAGCTAGATGAGATTTTTGTGAAAAAGGTACAAAAGTTATGAATTTGTGAAAATTATCAGTGAATTACAAAAATTTATGACTTTTTCTCCAATCCACCTCAGGTGGCTTCCAGGTAGCTTGAAAGCCACCTAATTTCGAAAAAAGATAGCACGCCTTCAGATTACATATTTTTTTCATAGTTGTCCATTCATAGTGCTATCTCCTCCTTGCCCATCTGCACACACAATTTTGGCGTCGTTTCGTTTTCACTTCGCTACAAACAAGCCCTTTGTTTGTTTGGGAAAGCGCCGCCGGTATGCTGGTAGAATGCCGGTGGCAGTGGATCCCGCATCGGAAGACAGCGGATATTCCGCAAAACGATACCCTTTTGCTTTGCCACCTATGCCGTGCCCTGGTTAAAATATTTTTGCTATAGAATCAATTGAAAAACGTTGCCAAACTAGAAATTGAACTTGAAAATAAAAGAAGAAGAAGTGCACCGTTGTTCAGTCAGTAATTTTGCGCAGGTTTCCAGTTATGAAAGAGTTTTTTTTGGCAGAAAAAACTGTCGAAGATTATTTACTAATCTGCAACCGTCATGAAAAATCACTGCGTACGTTAGTTCTAGTATTACAAGCTTATCATTACAACTTTACTGCTCAGCGACCACTTTGGATGCCAGGTCAACGCTTCCTTGTGCCAGAAGTAAGCATTCAAGTCATCCACGCTCAAAACAGTGGCATAAAAGGGCCTGAATGCTCATCTTGGTGTTGATTCGATAGATTACAACTTCGACAGCGGTGCCCGCATAACTCAGGTCGCCTGCTCCGTTACTCTCGAGTAAGCATTTGCGTGACGTAGTGGTACGACTTTGGTTCCTCCAAAAATACCAAAAATGTTCTGCGGATGCTTCGATAGGATATGAGGATGTCAAAAAAAAAACTTTAGTAACAACAAGAACTCTACAAAAGTTTGCAGTTTATGAATGTTGAAATGGGGTGCATTGCAAAGTGAAGAACGCGCGGACGTGAATTCTAGTGCAATTGAGTAATAGACTGCCGTGACTGGGCACCGTTAAAGACATTCGAAGCTGGACTTTCCTGCGACTTCCAAAAGCAATTTCAAAAATCCTTCTTTTGTTCCCTGTAAATCCTGTCCGCTTTTCACAAGAGAGGAAATCGATCAAAATAGAAATCTTAGCGTTATCTCAAAATTAGTAGCCTTCCGAAATGGGAGCGTATTTTATTAGACAGTTGTTCATAACAATTATTGGAAAACTTTGTCTTGTTAACCGTTAGCAGCTCTTCAGGTTCTGTGTACCTCGGAACGACCGTTACGCCGCACGCTTCACTTAGATCACGCGCAGCGCGGTAGAGATTTTTGAGTCGCCAAATTCTTTTGTTTGTTTAGGCTAGCCGACTTTGGGAGAAAAATGTGCCTTGTATTTGTTATCAGGGCAATACAAAGCATGTAATGCTCAGGTGCTACCAAAAAGAGATCATATGTGCAAAATATGGCATTGATGATTAGCTTCGACTGATGCAAAGCCTCCCAAAATGTTTCAAGGTGATTTCGTAAAAATGTTAGGTCTGTTCAAAGTTCGTTTTCTAGACTTAATCTCAAATCATTAGAAAAGGTAGACAAGCATTCTAAGTTTTTTATGCAAAATTTCTTCCTCTTTCCAGTATTAGTTTTTTGTTCGGTCGTTTTTTTGTGTTCCTTTGATGTTCGCTCGAAAAATCGTTAGGATCTTCATCTCATAATTTTTACCTACCCTAACCTTTGCTATTTTTCGAAATTTGTTCTAGATATGGAAATGCTTTGATAACCATAGTGTTTGGAGAGTTTATATTTTAAAACTTCGCCAGTGTAATTTTGGAATGCTTATTTTACTGAGAAGCCAGCCATCATTGCTTGAAAAATTGGGTTTGTAGCATTTCGTTTACTCTGTTCAACTGTTGTCAAAACTTTTTTAAAGTCCAAAACGAAAATTTTAGAAAAATAGCTAATCATAGGGCACGTAAAATGGATGGGTTGGAGATTGTGGTGATTCTATGAAAGAACACTGTAGTGATCCAAACAGAATATCGTCACCTTTAGAAGGAGAAAGAAATTCTGCCTAGAACAATGCCTAGAGTATTTGTCTATCATCATTCTGAATGATTTGAGGGGTAGGTCTGATAAAGGGCACGAATTTCGGACCCACCTATTATTATAAAAGGTCATTGTGTTGTAAACTAATTGTAAACTAAATCCTTCTCTGCGTAGGTTCCAATACTATTATAGATTTATTTGTCTGCTCGTTCTTTTGCATATGTAAGGTGGAAAACATGTGGTAATATTTATCTAAAAGAAGCACAATATTGCTTCTATCGAGTTACTAAGGAGAAAGTAGCTCATGCATGTGGGCGCCCGACTTTAGCCAGGTATGATTGAGCTTCTTCGTTAAACCTTGTGCCCAACGCATCCCATGCTTTTTTCTGGTCCTCAGAAAGATCTGCACCCTTGCTGTCCAAGAAACCTGTCCAGTACTCCCAAAAACTCTGCAAAAGATTTGCGTTAACACGTGGGCTATACTATCATCGTAATTTGAGACCTTCCAAAGTGGAGGATCAATGTTTCTTGTAAAGTGCTCGATCATAACTCTGCGGACAAAGTTGCGGAAAACAGATTCCTAAAAGGGAAACTGTGAATCACAGATGATAGCTTGGAAATTCATACGTTTTCGTATGTGTTGGCCAGAACGTGAACAAATAGTAGTATAGCATCCCCCAGTTTGTCGAATCTACGAATAAATTTTTCAGAATCACTTCACCAAATATGCTTCCTACCTCTCGCTTGCCATCACATCATCGCCGCTGAAGTTTTCAGCTCCCTTATAGAAATGGCGGTGCTCAGGGTGTGTAGTGAAAAAGCTGGATTTGACATTTTGAACTAGTGTTTGCCAAAAAATAACCCACTAACAATTTATAAAAATCTCTTCCATGATGACCATCTCCTACCGGAGCCACCCTCAGCGACGCAACTGTATGTTTCGTAACGTCGGTTGGCTGCCTAAATGAACAATAAAATGTTGAGAAACACGTCCGGCACATCTTGCTAAGCGGCTATGGTGCATGTCAGAATTGAGATTTTGTTTCATGTAGTAAAGTACAAATTGTACTTCAATCGAATCTTAGGAAGCCTTTCAAAGACCGCATGCACTTGAAACTAAAGCAGGTGTCTTATCATACAAGCAAACTTACATTGTATCCAGTGAAGATTCTGAAAAAAAGGTTAATTTACAGTTCTGCCGCATCAACGCCTAATCTGTTAAGTAAGATGAAACATGTGGAATAAAAGTTCGCTATATTTCAACGAGCTGGGTAGTGATTAGCGACTCTTTTGTGCTAGGTACGCTCAAAGACAAGACAAAGGAAGGGAATGTTTTACAGATGATAAGATGAGTTTCTGCTATGCTGAAATTTGCTGTGGCTGCAAGGCCAAAATAGTGAACATTTGGAATTTGAATGATGACACGCTCTTATTGCGGATTATTTATACAGCAATTCTTCCTCTCCGATAAATTTCTATGATTTTTTCCTTATAGGTGTAAGCACACTAAATCCGTATTATCGGTTTATCTTCAAACTAAGCCGTACTCATTAATGAGGACAGTGGTTTGTTGTATCGGTAGATGAAGAAATTTTGAATCATGGTGATTGCAATTTTCACCCCCTGCAAAATCTATATTGGCGAGAGCAAGATTGCTCATTTTTAAACACAATTTTCAAAGATGAGATGGCACTGTTAACTTATCCAAAACTATAACACTTTTTTGATAAAGCTACAAATGTTGATTCCTGCAAATTCAAAATTTCTGTTACTGTTTTCTTCAAAGGTGACTTGAAAAGGTCAATCGATTTTTTTACGGTGCACTCCATCAAAAGATGAAGAACATTCAAAACTTGGCAAAGGCTTATAAAACGTTTCGGCAGAAGTACGGTGATCTATTTCCAAAATCTAATGGTTTTTTGTCACAACTAAATAATCGCCATTTTTCAGCCAACGCGTTTCTTCACAAATCTACGGCGTGCAAAGCCAGCAGCAATGCACTGCGTCCAATATTTTTTTATTTTTGCAGGGCCGAAAATATCCATACCTCATTAGCAACCCTTGCAGCTTTATGTCGTGCACGTTCGCCTTTGAGAGAGGATAATTAACACGACCGGATTTGCTATGATCAATGAGTGTTCACCAGCGGTAGGGGTTTATTTTTATGACAGGTGCTTTACAGATAAAAGAGCGATGTGATGCATCTGCAGCAAGTAATCACATCTCTACTGTCTTCAGCATTTCTATAGAACTTGCATTCTCATATTTTCATGGAACTAGCACTAAAAACGTACAGCACAATTTTTCAGTTTTTCTTGGCTAAAACGAGCACTACTCTTCAACAAAATGGCATTGTGTCAAAAAATTGGCTACCAATCTTATTTTAAAAGCTCAAATTTCTGCTGGGTGCAGTTCAAAATTGAGTACTTTGCATAACGTTTATCTCTAGATTTCGCTGACGTCACACAACACTTTACTTTTTTTCCATCCGTCGTGCCAATTTAAAAATGCAATGTCGTAGAAAAGTCTGAGCTGTTGTAGACTGCCGGTTTCATAAAGAGATTGAGCATTACATAAAAGTCATCTTGATTGGTCTCGCTAACTAAACATTTGAATCAGCCGAAGATTTTTATAGCTCATTCAAATAAGCAATGCCTATATATGACTTCTGCCAATTGCTTTTTGGCCATAATTTCCTCTAAATCATGTGTATTTTCAGAGTCACTTCCGACAGCATGTAAGTCCCCTTCTCCCTACATTTTCAACTTGTCTTTAGGCTTTCTTTTTGGCTTCTGTTAGAACAAGTGCTAAGTTCTCTTTAACTCTATTTCATGAAACACAAAACAGCAGAATCTCTACATTTTAAGTTCGACTTTGAGCTTCTGAATGCGATCGTAAATTAAGTACAGATTGGTGTGGAACTCTAAGTACCGCAGCCTTCTGACTTAGGCAACGACTGTATTCAGAGAATAGGAAATGAGGAGCCCGTAGTAGTAAGCTGTGTGGTAAACATGAGACCCAGTAACGTTCAAAGCTGCAAGATTTTTCTCTTTGTTCGCCTAGAAACCAAATCGTCTATGGTAATACAAACCCAACTCTTTATAAATCCCCACTACATTTCTGTTTATCGCACTGTGCAAGCTATTTAAGTTACACTGGAATAGAAAAATACATTTTTTGAAGCAGTTGACTGCCTGCGTACAAATGGAAGTGATTCATAGACATAATCACATCACAAGCATGTAATCCATGCACCTTCTGTTCCATCGAGTACACGCAAGTTCGAGACTCTAACACCACACAACTTGATTCAAGCTCAGAAAAACTTGTGCTACGTGCACGGTGTCATTGTTGCTTATTAAGGAAGCCCGCTGACGTCAGAACGCACACCGTTGAATCGCTTAAGGTGGCTCCACTTGGTGATGGCCATCACGGAAGAGATTTTTACAAATAGTTTGTTGTGAGCAAGTCTGCCTCCAAAAGATTCAGTTTTAACTTTTAGCTTTTTCACTTCTCACCCTGAACATCGTCACTTCTACAAAGGTGCGGAAAATTACACTGGTGAAGACGTGGAAAAGAGCGAGAGGTATGTAGGAAAGTTTGCTGCTCATAGGCATACGTATTCTTGCAGATTTGACAAGTTGGGAGACGCTATACTCTTGTTCGTGCACGTCTTGGCTAATCTCTGTGAAAATGTGGGTATAGAAATTTTATGTCCAGTTTTAAAACATTTTGAAGTTCTTCAGGAATCGGTATATCGATCATTCGTGCGCAGAGTTATGTATGAGCATTTTGACAGATCAATTGACCCTGCACTTTGGAAGGTAACTTTTTTGCGCATCTCCCCTAAAAAATGCTCAATTAAGACTATTTCAACACGATCTTCCTTTACAGCCATTTTGGGATTACTGGGTGGGATTCCTAGAAAGCAAAGGATCAGCGTTGACCGCAGAGCAGAAGGAGGCATGGAAAAATTTTGGTACCGTATTCAACGCTGAATGCCAAGCCTACCTGACTAGAATGGAGCGCCCACATGCGTGAACCACCTTAACTTAGCCATTTCTTAGTTAGTCTACCTAATAAATATTATAAGCAGACCTCATGAACAGATTATCAGATTGACAGATTGTTCTTGCAAAGCTTATGTATTTTCTTTTGATGAATGATAGGGACGATAGGCAACACGATAATGTCTGCAGATTTGCGAAGGAGCTTTTATTACGAGCTTGATTTACTTGTACTTATTTCGAGCTCATCAACGAGCTCGAGATAGGTACAAGTAAAGCTACCGTTGTTTCCGTTTTGCAATCATTGCTTGCAAGCATATGTATATAGACAAGGTTGAGCTTCGATGTCTAACTAATGTTTTTGTCACCGTCTTTTATCACACTACAACCCAAAAATGAACATTTTGTGCCATTGTGATCATTTTTTCTTGTACGGCACGATTTCCGTCATGTCTATTGCAAGTAACTCTAAAGGCTGCTGCATGACGAAGGCGCAGAAGCAGTATCAGTTGAGCAGGCGCGAACGCGGCGCGCGCGTATACCGTTGTAAATTCCGCGTCTTTGCGCTCTGCGGCTAATAAAGCGGCGATCGCGCCCAAAGGTGCTGCGCCTTCGTCATGCACCAGCCTTTACTTCGATACTAATATGATATGAAGAACAAAATGTCGTCAAGAATTTGAATTAGCATTGAAAACAACTCGCTAAACACACAGAGTTTTTTGACTGAAATTTACGTGCTTGAGCTTTTGAAACTAACCATTCAGTTGTTTTTTGTGCGTAAAACACAGATATATAAGGTTTATATACGGAAGAAACAAAATGAATGTAATTAGCAGAGCAAAAAACCGCATCACGGCTACCGTGGAAGAAGGGTGCCCTCAAGATCCTTGCCATTATCATATTCCATTGTCTACGTTTCGCAAATTTCACTTCTTCCATGATTATGGTACTGACTGTTGTTGAAGTCCGACAGGAGCTCAAGTTTTGCTCCTGACAGAGCGCTTGCATGAAATGGATGCGAACATTGCAGGAATCATTTTGCGTGGCTGGATAGAAGAGGTTAGGTTGACACCAGAGTCGCAATCAGTAAATATGTGAAACATTGAGACTTAGGTTCTCAAGAGTGAGGCTGCTCTTCTACATTTATGCTTTATATACCTGATTATCCGGCCCGCCCCGTAAACAAATGTAAGAGTCCATAGCTCATAGACACAGTCTAAGCCAGCATTAGAACCAACTTGTAGGATTTAAGAAGCTGTTCTGCCCAGTTCGGAGGATGAGTGGTAAAAATAAAGTAATTCTGAGAAGCTAGAGGTTTCATTTAATGCACCGAGCGGAAATCTGATTTGTTCTATTTAGTCAATACCATGATTTTGACTTTGCAGACATCGACGATAATTCAGATTGAACACAATTCTATAGTATTTTCTAAGATTAAAGTGGATCTATTCCAAAAAATTCAGAAGAATTCCTTTTTCAAGTATTATGTGACAATTCGAACACCCACACTAACATAAAATGATAAATCAATCTTAGCGAAGCAGTGAGGCGTTGGAAAATGTAGAGACATACTATTTTATTATTTTGTAATTATAATGTAAATCTGAAACAAATCAATTTTCTTGCTCAGGGTAGTCAAAAGCATATTTATCTCTGCACATTCATCCAAGTTTCATTTGCGCCTAGCAAAAATTTAGAACAGCTATCGTCGAGTCATTCGTAACTTAATATGCCTAGTGCACACTATGCACGGTAAGTGACGAACTGCGAAACTAGAACCTGCTTATTTCCAGTGAATTCTTGTTGTTTCCTTGTTTCTTCCGTTTTAGTTAGTTATAGGTTGGTCAATAAAACACATTTCTACATTCTGTTAGGCTAGAAAATGTTTTACTGGGAAGTTACTAGTATGGGGGCCGTCGCTAATAGGGCCTGGTGTGCAATCTCACATATTGAGTTACAAATGACTCGAGGTTATGCTGATGGACGCTCAGTTGCAAAAAAGCTTCTAAAATTTAGGATAAAACTTGTCGCAGCCTTTGCTTGATAGTCTCTTATACGTGCTATCTCTTACGATATTTGAAAAAGTACGAGATCTATCAGTTGGTCAGCTGATAAAACAATAATTTGCAAATAAAACTATAGAGATATGTTGCATTACTATAAGGATGGCCAAATCTCCTTGCACAGGAATTTTCTCCATTAGAAGCACTTTTGCCAATCGACACCATATACAATCATATCACCACGATTAGAAAGCAAATTTTTTCACCGAAGTCTTGTACATTCTTTGAACTCGATTATTAATCGAAACCACCATAAAATCTTCATGGAGGTTACCTGATGAGATACAAGCACTGCAGAAATAACCTTTTCGCATTCTGGCAATCACAACTTGCGATGAAGCTGTTGTCCGTATGTTTCATTCATGCATAGATGGAACTAAAAGCAGATTGCCTTTGGTCTTTCTAAGAGCTTTTGGACGGTTCTTTGGTTTGCACGTCGCCCCAGAATTTGATTCGGTGTTTAGAAAACTCAACTGTCTAGCTTCCTTCTATATTTTTATATCCACATTATTCAGCTGGTGTTTGTTTTCAACAAAAAAAATTATGCGCTATGTTCCGGGGTCCACACTTTTAAATATCAATGCACTTGACATTACTGAGATACCATATCTGTAAAGTAAGTAAGATTTTTCGATAACCTTATGGAAAACTCGCATTCAGAATTACTTGCTTTTATCTAAAACAAGGTTTTTTTTTCGAAAGCTCTGCATGTTTTCTATACGTCTGTCTGGAATTACAGCTTTGGTAAAAAACCGTTTTTCACAAAAATCGCGTACACCAACCAAAAGTTCTTTTTTCTAACTTATGTGTGCTTTTTGCTCCATCCATCCAGTGGTAAAGAAAATTTTTTTTAGTAATTTTCAAAAGTAGTTTTTCATTTTGTTTGCTAAGGAATTTTTCAGAAACAGAGATCACTTCAAAGGCTTAGAATGGAGATAAAGGAAATGTAAACAATTTTGTGGCCAAATAAAACGAACTTTTCGAATAAAGTTTTCTTGTTTCTATGTCGATGCAATCTTACAATCCATTCTTGTCAAGGAATGCTAAGATAACTTTTTGACCGATAATGATAAAATAGCGATAGACTCATCACTTATAATAAAGCGCTAAACTTGTTCACGTGACTTTGCGTGTGTGCGTGAGTGTTTGTTAGGAAATTCGCAGAGCGTGTTCCAGCCAACGTTCTAAGCCCAAATTTTGTACAGCGCATCTAACTGCATAAAAATCCATGCAAAAGCACGGTAAATTATTCGTTGAGTGGATCTCTTTAGAATGGCGCCGGAGATTCACTTGGCTTCTGGCCCGCAAAATTGGGTCCGTACTACCACTTTTTGCGAAGTCGTGGATATGTTTGGAAAGTAAATATGCAAGCCATGGCTATCAGCTTAAAAAGCGATCAAAGTTCACTACCCAACGAACGGCCCTAAAAAGTATTAGTTGCATAGATGATCAATTTGCCAAGGTGTTGGCCGAGCATTTAGAGATTATCGCACAAAAATGTAGCTCACAATGATTATTGTCCTTATGGCGACTACCAATTTATGACAAATTCAAATACCTATTCAAACTTGCATTTGTCTTTTTGCGAAAAGTTTCATCCACGCGAGATCATCGATCTCACATAAAAAAGCTTTCGAAATGAGTAGTTGTTTGCGTTTTATTCGTGGTAGTCGGCATAGTTTGGTGAGTTTTAGTGGTATCATTGTGCGAGAATGAGGAAGGCATATAGATAGTAGAGCCAGTCCGAGCCTCTGTGAAGCAGAGATGACGCACTATAAGCGTATAAGCGTGAAATTTTGTAGACAAAATTTCATTTCTTTTCTCATGGGCAATTCTTCATTATCATTCGACTTTATCGATGAACCACAGGAACGAGAGTTACTCCAAAGATTTGAAGGAGATAGTAAAGTCAAACGAGTAGACATGCAAAAGAATCAAATGTCCTTTGTATCTGACTATGAAATGATTTTCTCAGTTTTGCACACTACACTATATTGCTTATAGCTAGTGTTAACTTATCAGTTAATCTTTTCAAAGCCGTCTCACGCTTGTAGAGAGAAGGGAGACCTGACTAGGTAAAAGAGTCTTTTTTCTGAAGAATATGGTTTACTTGCAGTAAATATTTTATGTGAGGGAAGAAGGACTAGCAAAAACAGAGGGACGAATTCGTAAGGTACTAGATTGTCCCCAAAGATTTGCCGGTTACTTTAGAAACTTTGAAATAACGTACTTCAAAGACCTAGATGAGTTTCAAAACATGCATGTGATGCAATCTTTCTTGCGATTTTACTTCAAAACAAAATCTTATACAACGCTTTACGAAAACTGACAAACTTCACCTTCATTTCTATCTGCTCAAAGTTCTGCTATTTTTTGAAAATTTTATCCGAAGTTTTCGAAACTCGATCTTTGGTAATGTAATAAAACACGCAACAGCAGCAAGAACATGAAAATCTGCAGTGTATTTGCGAGATAAAACTTGATTGTTATCAAACACTATCTGTGCAACAAAGTCAAGCTTGATTTGCTTTGAAGAATCAGCTTTACAAAATCTCCGCTTCTCCTTTGCGCCAGAAAGCCGCGGGAACGGCTTCCCCCGAACGAATCATCATTACAGACTTTACAAACGTGAATCACTAATCTAAAAGGGGTATAATGTAGATAAATTACTCCTACTTACTAGCTTGCAAAGCAGGTTCTGCACTTTTTCTATAACTTGTCTCTCTCTGAGTGGGACGCATTCAAATCATTTTACGGCTACGTAGATTATAACGTAAGCTACAAGTGCAGCCGCAATTCTGCCAAAGATGTCGCAAGGACAGTTAACTAGGTATACGGTACAGCGGCAGAAATCACAAAATACTACACATGTGGCTAAAAGTTGGGGTAGGAGGGTTATGTGACATGCCGATAATGACGATCACGAAAACGATACTAAATTTGGCAAGGCCTTTTTTGTTACGGTAAGTATGCAAATTAATAAGTTAATGAATCGACCTATTGCAGATACATGCAGCTCCGCTTCCT